TTCAGGGATGGGGTCAGGGATGGGGACAGGTGACACACAGGTGACAATGTCACTCACACTCCTCAGGCGGTGTCACCGTGATGCTCTGCGCTGTGAACTCCTCATCGAAATACCGCGTGTCCACCTCGGACGTCACCTGCGGCCGGAACGGGGGCACCAACTGTGGGGACACGGGGACAGCGACAGGGGGGTCACCGGGGGTCACGGGGGCGTGGCCAGGTTCAGGGGGCGTGGCCAGCCCAGGGGGCGGGGTCTCCCCACCTTCCTCTGCAGCACCTCGCTCCAATCGATGGCGGCGAAGAATCGATGCTGCATCACCTCGCGCGCGTCACCGGGGCCACCGCCCAACCTGGGGACAGGGACAGGGACAGGGACAGGGGGCATGGGGTGTCACCAGGGGTGTCCCAATGTCACCAGGGGTGTCCCCAATGTCACCAGGGTGTCCCCAATGTCACCAGGGGTGTCACCAATGTCCCCAATGTCCCCAGTGTGTCCCCAATGTCCCCAGGGGTGTCCCCAGGGGTGTCCCCAATGTCCCCAGGGGTGTCCCCAGTGTCACCAGGGGTGTCCCCAATGTCCCTGGGTGTGTCCCCAAATGTCCCCAGGGGTGTCACCAGTGTGTCCCCAATGTCACCAGTGTCCCCAATGTCCCCAGGGGTGTCACCAGGGTGTGTCCCCAATGTCCCCAGGTGTGTCCCAGGTGTGTCCCCAATGTCCCCAGGAGTGTCCCCAGCTGTCCCCAGCTGTCCCTCACCTCTCTTTAGGATCTTTTTTCAGTAGCCCACGCAGTAGCCCCATGGCCTCGGGGCTCAGGGAGCGGGGGAAGCGCAGGTGTTGGTGTGTCCCTGTGTCCCCAATGTCCCCAATGTCCCCAGGTGTGTCCCCAATGTCCCCAGGGGTGTCCCCAATGTCCCTCATCTCTCTTTGGGATCTTTTTTCAGTAGCCCACTCAGTAGCCCCCTGGCCTCGGGGCTGAGGGAGCGGGGGAAGCGCAGGTCCTGCAGTGTCCCCAATGTCCCCAGTGTCCCCAGGAGTGTCCCCAATGTCCCCAGGACTGTCCCCAATGTCCCTGGGTGTGTCCCCAATGTCCCCAGGTGTGTCCCCAGCTGTCCCTCACCTCTCTTTGGGGTCTTTTTTCAGTAGCCCACTCAGTAGCCCGCGTGCCTCGGGGCTCAGGGAGCGGGGGAAGCGCAGGTGTTGGTGTGTCACTGTGTCCCAGGTGTGTCCCCAATGTCCCCAATGTCCCCAGGGGTGTCCCCAATGTCCCCAGGACTGTCCCCAGCTGTCCCTCACCTCTCTTTGGGATCTTTTTTCAGTAGCCCACTCAGTAGCCCCCTGGCCTCAGGACTCAGGGAGCGGGGGAAGCGCAGGTCCTGCAGTGTCCCCAGTGTCCCCAGGAGTGTCCC